TGACCAAGCGGGTAGACGACGTCGCGGGCGTAACATACAAATATAACCGAGTCACTTTCTACCCAGTCTATTTCACTATCATACACGTTAACAAGGGCTGTCTTACAGCCCAGCAATTAAGATAAAATTGACGTGAAATATGTGGATTGCATTTTATATCTAGGGCCTATCTTCGAGGTAATCGTTAGGTTATCCTGTACACTGGTTCAAGTTGTATACAACTTATCTAACACAGAATCAGATGTAGGTATATGTTATCTAGTTGAAAGAGCAATATGGACGTTATATTTGCACTATACAAATATTAAAAACTACGGTCTCTTGAGAAAACAGATTTCTCTTAAGAATTAAAATTGCGTGTTTTATTAACATTTAGTGCAACCGTCTCAGGACTGTCAACTTTAAATAATAATTTCACTATAAAAAAAGCTGACAGCAGACAACCAAGTATTTAGACATTTATTGTGAATTAATATTCTTCTTGCATTACAATGTTCTTTATTCAATCCGCGAAAACAAAGGACACCGTGAACCATTTTTGCCAAAACCCTCCATCTTTTAGTCGATACCAACTCCGGGGAAATAAATACAGATAATGCAACTTTCTCTACAGCTGTGATACTTTTTGACATCCAACACCTTTTGTCACAATTTAAAATTATGCTAAATAATTGTTAATGTATAATAATACATAACTTTAATCCGGTTAAAAAGTTTTTTCTTTAAATGTTCTTTATTTCTTCCTTTATAAAATTCAACTTCGAAAGCTACAAAAACGTATAACAAACCAAATATAGTCAAGGTAATACGCCTCCCTCGAAATTGTTTTAAAGTATGCGTAATTTCGATCCAAAGTATTCAAATTTGAGGGACTATCGAACAGTAGGGAAGAAATGCTCTCAAGTTCTGTAATAAATCTTTAAAGAATGCTTTGCCGTTCCCGAAAGGATCCCTGTAGGAGCATTCACCTTCTATTTCCCGTTATTTATGAGCCCATGCCTTACAACGAATAAAACGGGTAACTAAAATAGTGTATTCAGGAAAAACTGTTTTTTGTTATACTAAATTCTTGGTTAGGTTAAGTTTTGTGAAATTGTGTTATGAATGAAAATAAAATAAATAAATCAGTGGCGCTACAACCTCTTTAGGTCTTGGCCTCAGATTTCTGAATCTGTTTCGTGATCATTTTTAAATCTAATAGGCAAGTAGGTGATCAGCCTCCAGTGCCTGACACACGCCGTCGACTTTTTCTGTCTAAGACATGTCGGTTTCCTTACGATGTTTTCCTTCACCGTTCGAGCAAATGTTAAATACGCACGCTATGTGTTATGGATGATATGAAAAAAATATACTAACTAAAGTCAAATGACTTTAGGAATCTCTTAATTCTTCTACCGATATACTGTTCCTAAGACTATATAGCGGATTACGATACAAAATTATGTAGGATCCGTACATACTTTTGTCCCTTTAATTAATTAAATTACATATCGGTTAGGTGTCAAATTGTTCGTTTGGTGGAGGTATTATAATAAATACATTATTTTAATTAACATGTACCAACCTCAGAGGTGTATAAAAGAGCATAATGAATTAACAAAAGCGTTGTTAATGAAAATATAGGACTTTAGATTTCAAATTTAATTTATAGGTGATTAGAATAGAAACAATATCTTATCTTATCTCCAATATTTATGGAGACAGAGAGATGGATTCAAACGGAGTTATCTCCTACACGTCATTTGTAAGAGCTTCCTTCATTTCCATGACCTTCTTAAGTAGTGGCTGGTATCGATTAACCTAATGGATTTCTCAATTTAATGTATCCTTAACTATAATTGGCTTTTAAAAAGATATCGTTTATTTGTATGCGTCGATTACATTCCTGTGAGCAGTTTTTGTCATAAAAATGAAGTTAAACTGGTTTTGTGATAATTGACAGTTAAATTCAAGATAGGTGGTCTTATCTAAAGTCGGCGAGTAGAAAGAAGATTGAGGGTTGCCGTTAAATCTGGACCACATTTACTCATAGATAAAATTGTATTGGAATATAATGTAAATCTGGTTGATTTATTGGTTCTACGATCTTTTATTTTTAAATAATCTATTACTAGGAACTAGCGAAGTTCTGCGCTTTTTATTTTAATTGCTCGACACCTTATAAAATAGAAATTTGACAAGTCATCGGTCCCAGAGATGAGACAGTACCGTCTATAAGATAGTCACACACATGCTTTTAAACAATGTGACTCTATACTCTGGTTGGGCATTTGGGCAACTAAAGCTGGTGCAATGTGGTCTATATTGAAATGTATCGAAATGTATCAAACACCGCCTCATTGTTGCTTTTAATTCACAAGCGGTATCTATCTGTGTTTGTGTCTTCACCAATTCATTTTACTTCCATATACTTTTTATGTTTGTTAAGGTGAGTTGGCTGACATTTATATTGTACATAAATCACATTTGTATTCAAATAATGTTATTTATAATGTCAAAAAAGAAAATAAGACAATTGAAATGGTGGTGGAACGGGCACATGACGAGAGATACCAGTTTAACGGACAAAATGTTACAGAAGCAAGCGAGAAAAAGGCAAAGAGGAAGACAGAGATGAAGATGGGCAAAATGGACATAAAGTGATTAGAGACACTGGCCAAGAAGAGCTAACATCAGAAAATATTGGAGGCGCCGCGGGCCCCTTGGCACAGGACACGCTGATTATCAAAAACGGGTCATACTCGTACGCGATGTTTTAGAAAAAGTAAAACATAAAGAATTGTTAATATATTAAACTGGGTGTCAGCAATTCTCCCGCAGGGGAGTGTTGGCCTGGTGGTTTCCGCGTGCAGATTCATCCATGATATGTCGTGGTTGAGCCGGCAGTGCACTAATGGACTTTCTTCGTTGTGCGCATTAAACATTTCTCGAACGGTGAAGAATTTTAGAGCGTGGACAGGAGAGGCTATCACCTTCCTGCCTATTAGATTTAAAAATGAAAGCAGAGATCTGAGGCCAAGACCTAAAGAGGTTGTAGCGCCACTGATTTTTTTTTGTCAGCAATACAGGCTTAATAATAATTTAAATTATTCAATCTGCATAAAGTAATTTTTAATTTAAAATATTTGAGAGGCACGAACCACAAACTTGGTCTAAGAGCTTAAATATTAAAAAAGATTAAGCGCGACGAGACCGTTATTTTAAATCGTTTCAGATTAAAACCTACGCCCGAGTTGACAATTAAAAGGGTTCCTTAACTATTGTTTGACAAATTCGTCGAAGATAATCCCAACACAATGGTCTTTTTCCGCCTGTCAAATGCCGGACTAACATTCCCCTTTTATCAAAGTTAATATTTGTTTAAGGGATTTTAGATTTTGGTTTATTGACAAATAGAATATGTTTTAGTCTACATCGATTTGTGTCTAAAGTGTAGAGAAATTCTGTAAGATTAGAAGATGGTCGCTACGAGATGGCGAAGATTCTTTGAATTGCTTCCAATCAAAGTTCTAAGTAATATTTATAGCAAAATGTGAATAATAATTATATATATTGCATTTGTAGTAATCGTATTTGTAGTCGTGACGAACAGTACAATTTTTAATATAAATAAAAAAACCGTTTCAAACTTAGACTAATAAGACTGTTTTTAAATATTTATTGGAACTTCATTAGTTTTATTCGTATATTCAATTATTTCTGATTTCAATACCTATTAAATATCAATCAGGTTTTATAGACCATCAATTTTACATTCAGATTAAAATAAAAATCAATATAATTTGGCAGACATATTTATTCATTAAAGTTTAGCTTCATCAATTAGCACTATTTACAAATTCGGATGAAGATTTAAAATAAATTAATTTAACTATCGCTAATATGAATTTGGTCAAGAACCAAAAATTGTTAACAACACAAAAGTAGTTTTGGCTTATCACCGCTAAAATAACTTTTAAGTACGATAGCTAACATCAATGAAACGAATGACTACTAACAATTTATTACCGACCATAGGACTACACATATGTTCAGATTTTCATTAGACACTACACGACAACTGTGTAGGTCTCCCTACAGATAATTAAATGATACCTAAATATCATTAGATAAATTTATGTCGCCTCCAAGAAAAATATAATTTCTCTGTTTTTACAATAAATCACTCATATTTACAAAACACGTATTATTATTGCTGAAGAAGTAGAGTTAGGTCTACGTAATGAGGTCTTAGGATATCTAATAAAATGATCATAAGGACTAGGTGAAAAGAGTCAAACATGGAAAGTTAATCGAAACCCCAAAAATTATAGAGAATTATAACGAATTCGGAATGAAATTAAAAAGGAAATTACTTGAGTATTAGAATAATTAGAATACAAAAAAAACATTTAATCTTTGTAAACCATTTTAGAAATAGGAAAGTAATTATATAATTGGGTTGAACGTTAGATTCGGTTAATTTTTTACATGGTTCCTATATAGCAGAATAATTACCTATAGCATATTATTTCTACGAATCATAGACAAGGATGAAAACAGCACGTAATATTCAATCTTTGATTTTGCATTGCAATACAAAGAAAAGGTGCGAAGGCACCTCTATTTACAATACACAAATTGAATAATTAATAATAAAGATAGTATAGTCTTAAATATTTACAACTAAGATTCCTGGTGTTGTCCTTACTGTGTTTCCATAAATACAATTATAAGTACAATTTTTAATTTACAATTTGTCTAAAACTACATACAAAATTTATATAGTATGTTCTCATAATGCTGGTACAGTGATTTAATGCAAGAGTAGTTAATATAGATCACAAAAAAATAAACGTCGCAGATATTCGCACCACCACAATTCAAGTTCAAACTACTTTTTATCACATTCGAAAAAATCCTTTTTTTAACGACACTATACGCTTCATTTCACACTATAAGTCCACTCTTTAGGAACTGAATGCCCGATCCTCTACCGATAACATTTCGTAACTGTGACGTCACACTACTACATCCCGTGGAGGGGGAACGTTGGCGGTATTTTGAGGGGTAAGGACAGGTTGAAAACAATGCGCATTGGGAGTAAAGTCCTCGACGAGCTTTCTCTTTAGGACAGATGAGGATCCTACATAGACATTGGTTCCTGGAAAGGTACCGCGCCGTCTTCGCCTCCAAATGACAGCTGCGAGTACAGCTAATCCAAACGCGATCATGGCGGAAAGACATCCTAGAACCAGTTCTGAATCAGGTGCTCTTTCTGGGACGCGTTCTCCTCTCATTGAACTAACCAAAACAGACATGAGTCGGTCACCTTCACTTACTTCAACATCTTGTACACTTTCTGTTGAAACACGCTGGGCGCGACTAGTATCTATTGTCATCATCTCCGATTTTTCATTATCAACGCCCGGCGTGCGAGAAACAAGTTCCACTTGAATATGATAAATTGTATCTGGCCACAGAGATAATGTAACTCTAGTGGAATCTGTGAATAGATTTCCTTTTAAGCCACCTCCATCAACCTCCCACGTTACAAGATACACACCTCGAGCTATCCTCGGTTCCCAGGCGATTTCACCAATGACAAGAACTTTTTGATGAATGAGCGAAACTTCTTTCAGAATCCATTTATGCTCGTCGTGATTAGATGTATTGCTGTCGTGTGCTACCCAAGTTTCATCAGGGCTATAAATTGTCACGAGGCCTAAGGGATCGACTACTAGGACACGGAGTAAAGCGCCTTCATTGTTTGAGGGTACACGAGTGGCTAAGGATTGGGTTTGTATTATTTGTCGCCAAGGACCTTCTGCAGCTCTTCGCATAACGACGTATACCAGAGGAGCGGGTCTGGCAGCCCTTGGGGTTGGCGGTGGCCAACGAGCAACTGCACCACTTACGCGCATAACACCTTCGCCTTTCGTGTGAATTACGGGTTGTGTTTGTGACGCCCTCGCAGCTTCCGTGTGAAATTCACACGCAACTTTACATCCAGGGAACTGTAAACAAGAAAGTTTAAATTAAATCACTACACAGTTATCTAAATGTGCTTTAATTACACATAATGAATGCTTCAACTTACACAAATGTCTTTCTCATCGCATACCGCACCCCAGACTTGATAGTTTGATTGAAGAAGTTCGCAATTCTCCCAGCACTGCAACAACAAATTTCTTTGTTGATTCTGTTTTTAGAATAAAATGTATGTTAAAATAGATAGAATATTGATAAATGTGTTTAATAGTATGAACTAATGACTTTCGACGAAAAATGACAAAAAAAGACAATAAACAACTACGATGTCAGTCAAATTGTTGAGTATCGGATTGCTCGCGTGTTGATACGATCGTCTGTCATTACTTTCGGAATTGGGACGCGGTCGTTACTCCCAACGAAATATATAATAATATTACTTGTGTGTTCACAGCAGTAATACGAATTTCATTCTGCTTTGTATAAAAAGTATATTTATAGAAGATAAAAATTAACTACTATTTATAAAAATAATAACATTTCATGAAGTCCCAAGGACCACCCAGCATTGTATTGTATTAACCTAATTACGTGAAATGTCCTAATGCAAGCAAGTGCACCTTATCATCCGCAAGGTTGATGACAAATACGTCCTATTAGTAACGATCTCCTATTAGATTGCTATTCCTTTGGCTTGACAGCTGACGTCTAGAAATCCTCTGATGGTCGGCTCAACATTTGTCATTGGAAACACTCATTAGTTGGAGCTGACGTTAACTTGACGCCCACTCGCCCGAGTAAGCTTTAATAATTATAAGAACGATTAATTACTAGTATTGACAAAACGTTCCGTCGCTCGGAATCGGTGCGTTTGATGTTAATTCTATTGATTTAACTAAGTTATGATTTGCTTTGGCAGTTTCGCGTTTCCTGTTAGCTAGTACTGTGTATAGACATAAATTTTGCGTTGGCTCGCTGAATGCATTACGTTTATTGGTGGAGTAATTCAGTTAATATTCAAACGTAATAAAATTCATTTATGTGTAATGAGTATTTACTGCGATGTTATTGCTAAAAGGCCTTTTATCGGAAATGGCCAATAGCTTTCCAAACACCGAGCCAAGAGCTACATCAATAAATCTTAAATTACTATTTGTGATGATGGCTATTAGTTCCGATGTTATTAAGTTTAAGAATTTATTTGTATACTAACCAAAGTATTTTTTGTAAATTAGAAATATAGTCCTGGTATACCTACAATACCAGTACTTCTGATATGACACTCTGAACGGTTGTTTGCACACACCAGAGCTTCTATTTGTCGTAATTCTGAAATGAAACGAATAAAGTATATATATTTTATACGTACCATAAAACAATCAGGGCCTTGCAGACAAGACGACTCCCCGCCGGGTCGAGGCGTCGCGAACTGTGAACAAACATTTCAACCGTTTAATTATGTTGTTATATAGAATTTATGTAATACATAAAGCACATTATAAGCCATTAATTTCGTACATAAACGTTAATAACTATAAAATTTTGTTAACGCGCCGCACTTGGTGATCGTTTTGATGATTGAATGTTATTATAGTCTGAAATCACATTGTTTTTGAATGCTTAATAAAGCGTACAGTACGAGAATATTAATAACAAAGGTGTCGCCAATTATTATAAAATATTATTCATAAAACTCAGCGTAATATAAAAAGGTTGCTGGCATCATTCTAAAATCGAATTGTTATTAAGTTTCATTTCAGGGTGATCATTAAATAATTTTCTTTGCTAATTACTAGGAGTTGTTTGCCAATATTTTTTTTATTTGTCCTTATAAATTATTAATTTATGTCGGAAGACTTTAGAATTACTGTTAGTAATGAGATATGCTAGGGTTCCTACAGTCCACAATCTTTTCAAAGAAGAATTTAACTAAAATACTACAGTATTTAAAACCTTTGTAATGAGAGAATCTTTGAGGCAATTGTTATACGATTTTCACATGCGTTGATTAGTGCTAATTATAAGGTATGTTCTTAACAGACTGCGTACATGACTTTTTTTTTAATGGCTCTGGCACGATTTGTGCATTAGCCAGGGTCAAGTATAGGATATTTTATAATTCGTGCTTGTCTTTAGAAATTCGACCGTGTCCTTCATGTACGGTAAGCACTCGCCCGGTACCGCACAACCCTCCCAAAGGCCGAGAACAAATTTAAATAAATTGAACAAATTTAATTAAACTTGCCCTCGAACCGGGAATCGAACCCGGTACCTCTCATCTCTGCACACCACTATGAGCCCGCATAACTTTTTAATTTCATTTAAAAAAAACGTTTAGAATAAAACCTTCTTGCACTAACCGCCTTGGTTATAATCTTGTTTTATAGCTAGGAATAGACTAGATGGAAATGACAACCGGCTTGTCTAGCAACAACATTGGAGGGAATATTTAATTATGAATTTGATTTTGGAATATCAATAATTATATCCTTCACGACAGTTTTTAATTATATAGATTATATCACAACTTTAACAAGTACAAGGCTTATTTTCGATTACAGAGATTTGTTCAAGATACATTACATCTTTCGAAGAATAAAATAAAACTCGAATAAGATACAGTTTATCCGTACTCTGTGACCGCAAAGTGCCACGACTAGACTTTAAGACTTGTGGTTTATCTTGAGATGAACTTACATAAAATGAGAACCCTAAAGCTTAACCATTAATGTTACGAGTGCTTTTACTTGCACACAATACATTCTTCAGAAGTTATGTTGTCTGTATTAGGAACTGTGTTACTATGCACAAACATATTTTGTTGTAATGAAATTGTTTTATATAATGATAAGCATATTTGTTGTTTAGATTGCGACTGTAACTAATGATAATTTTGAGAAACAAAATTAAAAGGCAAGCTATACATAACACTTAGTTATTTACTTCGTTACCCTAATCATATATATAAAAAACAGGTTACATAAAGTATTAGGCGGGCGGCTTTATACCAAGCGAATTATTCCAAGCAACCCTACAACATTGTGTAAAATAAACTCTTTTTTATTATTCTAAGATAATGTAAGATTTAAAACATAAACACGCCATTAAATCATAAAATTTATTGTTAAAGCATTATTAAACATTAACGAACCTGCACTACGAAATGGTCGTTTAATTATACACAGAAGCAATACATTACTCGTTATCTCACTTGAGAGGTTTTATATGATTAAAAAAAGTCGGTAATGTAGTGATAACAGACAGATGCTTGCTTTAATTGCTTGGGGACAGTGGCTTCCATCTTGTCAAAACCGTGATGAAGGGCTTTTAAGAAATGTCATGGTGACTCAGACGTTTTCAATAAACGACTTTTTACCGACAGTTATTGGAATGTCGAAGATAATTACTTGTGAGCTTTGAATAGTTATACTTTAATGGTTAGCTGTAGGTTATAATTTAAAATCGTTTTAAATTTAACCGGTTTTTTTAACGTCCAAAAAATAAGCATAGTCCAAACGACAGTTGTATATTTGTGTTCATTTACTTTAAGATGTTTGACCGAAATAAGGATTATTTTGTAGGGGTTTTTTTTTAAATAGGATCAACTGTTTCCCCACGTAAAACTTTAAAAGTAACAACAATAAATCATAGTGTAGTTATTACTTATCATATTACCCAATATTCAAACCTAAATTACATTAATCTAAAACATTTTTAATGATAAATAGAAAGTCTTCATAAATAAATCGGGCTTTAAGCGTCAAGGCGGTAAGAACTTTAAATGTTATAGTAGGTCAAAATCACTGTAGATAATGATGGCAATACCTCTCAGTGGCAGCACTGGGTTATTAGGTGTAATCAAAGTAATTTTTCACACAATTTATTTTTTTGGATCACATCACCGTGTTCACCTTAATGACAACAAAAAATGCCGTGCTATTTATATAGAAAATTACATTAACCTTTTTTAAGAACGCAAACAGGTTGTCGTAAAATGTAAATATAATGCAAGTGCATTAAGCGCGAGATTATAATGACACCAGAAATTGTTCTATAAAATTCTTTTGAACCGAAGCATTTCTTTTTAACCAATTAAATGTTTATACATATATAATAAACCTCCTTCTCCTGGGTCTATTAAAATATATATTTTATTATTATTAGGCCTTTATTTATATTTCACTCTTCAGCGACAGTATAGTTTTTTATATTGATTAGATCTGCTATTAAACTTTCAGTACTACCAAAATTAAACTATTCTTAGAAGTAAACCGTTTGTAAGTTTAAACTTCCGCCCCGAACCTTCAATTACATATTGTATGAAAATATATCAAACAATGCATTTCGGCATTGCAAAGGGAAGTATGGTAAGTGAATAATGAATGGTGATCGAAATCAGCGCATGCCAACGAAAACAACGAGGACGCCTCTTCATAATAATAATAAAATCGATTTGTATTCTAAGCCTTCGAGTATGTAGATTTCGGTAAAACTGTGGCCCAGAATGATCACTTGATGGCGTGATTTATGAAGTGGTCTACGATCCTACCACGGCATTATTTACCTTCCCCAGAAGACAATCCAACGATAGATTTTATGACGTGAACTACGAAGACGGTTATTTGTCATTAAACAATAAAGACTGATTAATGATAATCTAACACTAATTAATAACCGTACAATAGATTGAATATTTTCCCATCTAACGCAAATAAACCTCAACTAGTTCAGGCTTATGGTATATGAATGAACCGTTATTTTATCTAACCTAACCTAACTTAATTTTTTTTTATGTTACAGGAGGCAAACGGGCAGGAGGCTCACCTGATGTTACCCACCACACATGGGTACTCGCGCCAGAAAATCACAAGCGCACCTAAGTCGAATTTTTCTTTTTTTGTCATCTTCAAAAGCCTTCAGCCTTTTTATATGTGCAGTCAATAATAAAACGTTATAAAACAAACATTCATTGATCTAATTAATCTTAATTTCACTTAAGACATCGGTCGAAATTAAAAACGCCCATGAATAATGTATTAGAACTCCATCAATTTGTTGGTTATTAAAGACAGCTATTAGCGTTCCGTATTGAACTCATTTTTAAAACGGGATAAGCTAACATTAATATTCGAAAGCTGTTAATGTATTGGCCTGGAGGCCTTGGAGGTGTACCGGAATGTAATTTCATCCTGAATGAAATTTCGTTGAAAATAATGTTTTTTTTTTTAGATGAGTGAATCATTTGAATAAAATACTTTGCCGACATTAAATACGCTAAATTTATACTATTTATTTTGAATTTAGAATCTATTGAATTAACAATACATCCATTATAATTGGACATGAAGTTGCTATTTAACAGTCCACAGTAAAATTATTATATTATATCGCAATAAATAGTATATATAATCAAACTAGCAACAAATTTAAATGATTTTCTATCATTAAATGTAATGCCTATCGTCGGTATGGCCTTATTAGCGTGGCTCTAGTATAATCGATTGACGCGCACGCGGCTCTTTATAATCTATCAACGTTTATGTATCGTAAACTACCGATGAACGTCATTTATCATTTTGTTTTTGTGGGTAGCTAGCGCTCTTGGGGGTCAAACGAAGTTTGAACATATCTTACGAAATGTTTAAGTAAATAAAGAAATAGATAATGAAAAAAAGAGTAATGATCTTTACACAATGCGGCACGGCTAAGACGTTTTGACACATTGAAATAGAAATTGGAAATTATTTACATTACAACTAAGTAATAATTTTCTATTTAATTTTAATCTACGTAATGATTTATCATTGGGTTAAAGAAATGTATTAACCTTAAAACATGAAAGCATACATAATTAATAGTAATATAAAATAACATATGCTTAGATTTATGTCCGTGTAGTACCTCCGTGTTTGTTTACTTGTATACACAAAAGTACACTGTACAAATCAATGAAATACATACCCATAGAATTCTCAAACCAAATGTTTTTAAATCTGTTCAACGCATAGGTCAACTTTATTAGATTATTACATAGAGAAAATTATATTAAAAAATTAGATGTTTACTCCAATCTCATACAAACGTCTACGGAATATTTTTAGGGATATTTTTTTGAAAAGTGACAAGTGCATAATGAGGTACAAATAATAGGTAATTGTGAGCTTTAAGGTAACAATACTGATATTCCAATTTAAAAAAATATTAATTACATAAGTATACTTTCCTAAATTGAAAACAAAGTAGCTATTTACCAGTGCGTAAAATAAATTTACGCCGATCAAGATATGGCATAACGCCAGCGTGTTACACAGAAGAATCAAAATGTTTTCACGATAGCTTATCTAGCTCAATAAAAGAAATAATATTACTTGTGTTAGGGACATGGGTGGGAACGTTAAACGTATAACAGCCTCGAGTGAGCAAAAACATCATGAATTATGATTTCGCATAAAGATAAAATACAATCTAAGCCACCGCGCCAAATGGCGAAGAAAAAATGTAATTTTCTGAGCAATACACAAGCCATGTCTTCACCTCGAAATATAAAACATATATCATGAGGAAAACCTAAGTGAAATAAACTATTCATTTATATAATATTTCTTATGAACAGTTTCTACCTTCTACTTCGCATTTGAGTAATTAACTGAAATTTAAGTAAACAACAAATCGTTCCTATGTTATTAAAAACATTATGTAATGTAAATACGCCGATGACCTCTTGATAAAATTCCACATAACTATTAAATAATATGGAGCTTATTAAAGAAAAATTTTGTATGCTTTAAGTACCAATCAAAGCTTCGCTGCTCAGAATACATCAAGCAAGGGGTCTTTGTACAATGATACCGCAGTGATTCAAATGATAATTTTATAATTTAAATGTTAATTCCACTTTGATTGTTTGCTTATCGTTCTTTATGAATGTAAATTATAATTGTATAATTCTGAATAATAACGCTACACGACTGCTAATAAGATGTATCACCCAAGGTACATTGACTTTATTTAATAAATGCAGTAGAAAGAGTAAAAGAGCAATGTTTTTATACCATCGGTATATAAAGAAATTGTAAATAATAAAGAGAATTAAATTTATCAGATTTTGATTATTTATTTATTAGAGCCCTGATCCTATTAAGTTAATTTTAACGACATAAAGTTGGCAGCTAATGATATATCCATACAACTTTCTGATATATCTAATATCGTTATATCGAGGCTTCTATACATAATAGATTCCAATGCAGTTAGAGTTCACAGCAACGACCTTTCCTTACGTCATACATAACGTGTATCAGGTACAAGGTGTCTAAACAAATCTTGATAACTTGTATAGCAATAAATCAATAGAAGAAATAGAAACGCAATGGTATCTTGTAGTAAGAGGAAACAATAATATTTACCACGTTCTATTGCGCTTTATTAATTTTCTAATATACTGACGTGGGGCACATCTTAGTTCTTACTAAAATCTAGATAATATAAATTTACAAAAGTTGAATTACGATTGAATATTAAATTACGTTAACCTTTTCTATTCCTATCAATTAAGAAACATTGTCGCCTCGACCTAAATGTAATCTTAATCTTATCTTTATTACAAAGAAGAATTTATAGTATTATAATAATAACCAATTTCAATATAAAAACGACGTGACATAATAGTAAATTAATAATGAAAGCATCAGTGGAATTTGAAAGGCAATCAGTTAAGACAATTTATCACTATGCCAGTATAACCTAGTTTCGTCTAAGAACACGGCGGAAGCTCAAATTGAATTTCCACTAAAAAAGGTAGACTACCTTATACCAAATAAGCGGCGTACGGTTGAAATTAAATAAGTACTTTTTGCACTAGGGTTTTGATTGAATTTATCTTTTTCGGTGTGTTTTACTGTGTGTATTTACACAAACTTCGTTTGGTTATCTCTGCCAAAAAAAAAGCATGTCTTTTTAATGTTTCAAATTTCAATATTTGTTTAACGTATGATAATACTAACTCTTTGTATGTTGATACTAACGAAAATGCAAAATTATTTGTGTTTTAAGAACATTGGGAAGCTCCTATAGAATGCATGTTGTAATGGAAGTTGTATGAGGAGAGGTTTGAGGAAAATAACGCGTATGTTTCTACCAAAAATTTATTTACATTCTACCAACGTAGCAATGAAAACGAACGATTAATGAAATATACGTCCCCGTTAGCAATAAAAGATGGCATCGACATCATTAGGCCTCGGTCATGATATGAATTTTTCATAAAATACGACCTACTACGCGTTTATTGCCGGCGGAACCGCGTTCGTATTCCATCGATTTCTTCCCACTTTTTACACTCTGACAGACCCTTACAATTTTATCTTGTATTGCGAACAAGGCTATAAAATGTCATTCGATATCGTATAGACGTGCGTAGGAATTCATTAGTATCTCGTAACGAAACGAAGAATAATGTTTGTCGCAATCAACATCTAGTGTTTATCGAATGTTTTATTTATATACCATCCGTTAATAGTTATTATAAAAGCGTTTATCAGACACATCCTGCCAATTTGCTTTATGGATGTTACATTATAGCGTCATTATGTTTTTATGATCGGAGCCTTTTCGTATGTAATTACCGATAGACCTTCAGCTATTAAATTGAGTCTAAAATACATTTTTATGATAAAAGGATAAACGCTTGGGTAACTTGATTGGCACCTTCGAAGCCATAAATTTAAACATTCATTATGCTATTAACCAAGGCTTTGATTCGGTATGCCTTTTGTTGATAGTAAAATGCATAAATTCATAAGCCCGGACTAATAAAACTTCGCCCAGTGCGAAAGTGTTAAGCATTTAAATCAAGTTGAAACGATGCTATAAATGGTCAGGACACGTACCAAATTTGATCATACAGCGAATAAATTAAATAGGAACACAATCAAGGATTAAATTACTGCTTCATTCAGCATCCCACACAATTGCGAGGCTCGACAAGCGACACTTGCAACCGCGTATGTATGTAGGTGCCTGGGTATATAATATTGTGGCACATTGTACTCGGCGACTGCATATAAATGCGTTGAGAGCAAATAAAACGCTGCTATAATTTCAAATCATACGGACAGAGAATGGGTGTGGACGGCGCTCTCATTGTGTGGAAATGATGTAACCACTATTAAAAGTGTGGGCTGTATAGGGTCTCCGACGTAGGGTCATATCGCTATTTTATATCTTGGAAACAATAGCATTTCCAACTTCAAAAACTAAGTGGTCGAATTGTTTCTAGCTTTCTTCATATTCCATAAATATGCACCACCTACGTGTACCAGTAGCAACAAGGAACTCAGCAGGCACGTGAACAACAATAAGAAGTTGCCTATTTCCAGCTGTCTACACAACTAGGACGCACACACTTCTTGTGGCCATAGATCGGCTACTCTTGTACCAATCTTAATGATTTGCCCTTATTATCTTATAGATAAATCATTTTCATTTTCTGATCACCCACTTGCTATGTGACACGGGATGAGATTGTAAAGCGATAGAGAAAATGATGGCAGGTTTGTTTAAATCTGATAAACAGTATTTATTCTTGATGATTAAGAAGTTTCTAATCCTACCGTACACGTGACATATTATTATTTATTTAACCATTCACAATCCAAAACGCGCCATTGATTTCTCCCCTCATTCTTTCTTTGCTTATTAAGTTCATGGAGGCTTTTTATGAAACATATACTCCTACACGAAGAATCTGCGATTAAAAAGCTATTCGATTCAAGAAACCTCGAAAAGCACATTTTATTAGTGACAAGCTGTCACTCAAGATAGATACAATAAATTAAGCTTATTTATGCGTGCCACATACTCATTCGTGGTCAAAATTTGTAGCAATATGTGGAATGTGATTTTA